CGGTATGCTCCTACCTGATCATTGGCTGTGGTCGTGGGAAGAACCGATAATCATTACTCCGAATGCCAACTACACGGCCCACGACGTGAAGTGGTTCTCTGAGGATATCGGCTACTCATTTGGCGAGTTACATAAGTCAAATTTCTTTGTTCCCCAGAATCTGCGGGAACATGGAATGAGACTAATTCACTTACGGCAAGCAAATACCTTTAGAGATGATATGTGCGTCTTCCAAATGAAAATGCTTTCTACTGAATGGATATTTTTAAGTTAGTCAAATCCGTGTGGAGCAGACACGTAAACAGCAGCGTACTATACTCCATCCTCATTTATTGCTGCAGGTTTTTGTTGTTTCCTGCCTTTAATGCTCTTACAGTTAAAGCTAAGACTCAATACAGGAGGTTATTCGCTGAGGTCACGTGCAACATCAATGGAATGGGAGACCAGAAAGTTACCTATGCCTCCAGTGAAGCCTACTCAACCGATCTCCGCCACAACTCATTGCATTTACCAATTCGTTTGTAACTGCGGTAGTAGTTACATTGGCAGAACAGATCGATCGTTGGGTAAGCGCATTGGAGAGCATATCCCAAAATGGATTGCCAAACTGTCGACACAAGAAGCAGGCGAACGAGAAAAGGTATCTAAGATGCCGGCCTCATCGATCGCCAAACACCTACTGGAATCAGGCCATCAGGTTGACCCCAGGTCAACATTTACAGTTATCTATCGTAATGACAACCCCAAAGTGTTGAGGTTTGCCGAAGCCGTGGCACTTAACCGGCATCGTCCTATCCTATGCGTGCAAAAACAATTAACAGTCTCCCTGAAGCTTCCTTGGGGCTCATGACCCTAAGATTAGGATGCTAATCTGTCATTGTTGTGTCTACGTAATTTTTCCTTTGTGACCAGTTTCAAATGTTCGATTTTTTTCTGTCACGTGATTCATCTATCTGTTGTTAGTTTGCGAGTGAACAGATAACACGAAATGGTACCATCTCGCAATACCAGTCTTCTTATTGTCTTATTTAGAATCATAAAGGGAACTCAATGCTTTAAATTAACTAATCGTTTGCTTCACTTGCACTTGTGGAACTGCGAAATGTGAGTGATACCTTTCATGACACCTATTCTCCTTGCTTGGACATAACTGTCTCGTTTAGATCAGCACATCATCCAGCTCATCAGCAACGGCTATCAAATCTGCCTGTGGTTGTAACTAGTTGATTTTAAAAAACTAACCAAGTTCATAACCGTAATCAGCCAATTCACCGGTGCATAAGTCCACAGGATGGAGATAACAAAACCCATCTATTCTGCGGAATATAACTGCTTCCGCACAAAGAATCCCAGAAACATGAATTCACTAAGTCGCACTTTATAGCTATATATAGTTGCACCTAAGATTTGCAAGTGTTATTACCCTAGGGTGAGGATTCTAGCCTATGTCGAACATCTCCAATTTACAGCAAACAAATGAACAGACGTTTAGGATATTTCAGGAACCTGTATAGTGTAAAATGCACTTTACTCTCAGTTACTTGCAGAGCTAACTGCTTAGATATTATATAAAATTTGCAATACGTATGTCAGTAACGTGCCTAATCAGTGTGCACAACACCACCTGAACAGGTTCAAGCATACATCTGCACTTTTATTCATTTACTACACATGTCCCTCACTTCTTAACCATTTCTCTTGGGAATACAGCAAAATCTCCGAAGCTGACCACCTCTATTTCCTGTCCACCCACACTAATTTGACAGCTTAATTTTCCGTTGCTTAAATATTCATCATACAAATGTAATAGATCGAGATCTCTATATATTGACCCCCTCAGTCCAGCAGATAGATGCTTTGGACAGATTGACCTTAAAATTAGCTTCTCGTAACAGCAAGAAATATATCAATTATTTTTTTAGTTACCGTTAAATTGACTATTTATAAATTACTAGTTGCATATACTTTGGCAGTGGGAGGTACAATCCAACCAGGTGGTCTGATATTATAGTAAAGATGATCTCGAAGGGTTGGTGTTTTTTTCAAATTATTCAAAGCAGTTCCAAGACCGGTTTTCGGAAAGTTCGATAAGTAAAAGGTTAGAAAGGCGGTGAAGTTGAGAACAAGACGAAAGTAGTTATTGAAAAATGCAAGTGATGTGATACAGCTGTCCGTGGAACCATCTGCTGGGGACATACCTCCATACAGAGGAGTCCTTCGAAAGCTTTCATTCGCACTTCCCCTCCCCAGCTGGGTTTCTGTTGGTGTGGCATAAGCGCAAGTTAGTCATCACTATATATGCACCTCTTCAGGGTCGATGTTATGTATAATGTGTAATGAGCTCAGTGAGAAAGAAGCCCAATGTTTTTCATGTTTATACTACTTTCAAGCTATTCAGCTGGTCTGAATTTCCGACGCTTTCGAATCAAGTACATATTTTACGCACCAAGCCTGTAGCTATGCGACTTACGTAGGTCTATTGATTGATTCAGGCGCTTCACTCCGTCACCTTAGGAGGTCGGTCCAGTTAGGGCCATCTATGAGAAAGAGAATGGGTTGTGCTGAAGTAAACATATTGATCAATGTGTGTCATATATCCAACACATTCTGTTTAGGAATGTACATAGGGGTTACAGAGGGAGATAAAAAGGAAAGCATGCTAAACATTTTTGGGGTATTTGTGACAGTTAGAAATTTGAAGAGCGCAGTAAGAAGACGAAGACTGGCAAATACACGCATTTCGTATGGTCTCATCATTGCCTTTAACAATAACCCGCAATAATATTTATTCAGAGAAGGATGCGACCAAACATACATGCAAACAAAAAGCAGACTAACGCGATAAGCGAGATGGGGTTACCACCCCATGAAAAAGGCAGTCTAAGGCTGCCCGATAATTGTTTCCGAACACAAAGCAGCGGATTAATCCAGTTAATTTCAATCGCCTCTGCAAAACGGAGGAGCCGAGAATCGACGCGCTATAATATGGTTGAGAACGCCGAAGTGACCTAGACTCGGTGACCTATGATCCATAACTGTCGACCGATTGAAGAGGCCGATGGCTTACAAAGACAAGCAGCTTGACTCTTGCCAGATTCCTGCGACGTCGAACGTTAAACCCACTTAGGTACATGCTACTTCATTCTGGAATTCAATCTTCTATCGGTAGTGCCTATGCAACGAGCGCCGCAGTCGCATATGAACTGGGAAATGCAATGCGAAATTTAAAACAAGTTGTTCCCCTTATAATCCCAAACTGAAAAATCAGAAGACGTAGATTGTGAGATAACGTCGCTATTTCTTGCGTTCTTATCAATCACAAAAACATGCAGCAATGATTTGTAAATGTACAACCAACAATGTCGAAGAGATCCTATATAGCTCCGCATTTACAATAGTTCAATAGTGTATGATGGGATAAAAATCATTGGCTTTACAAGACCCATTGGATGGTAAATGCAAAATAACTAAAATCATTAGATTCCGACATGGAACTGAAATGCTAATAGTCTAAACCTAGTACATCACACCACAATGTGTTGTTTGTCACTCAAATGAATGTCTAACAATTGTTTGAAGGCTGTAATGTTCGGAGCGTTTACCACATGCGTTGGCAAGTCATTCCATTGTGAACAGATTCTAAGAGAGTAAAAATATTTTCTACAGTCTAATCGGGAGTGTTGGATTATCAGCTTGAGGCTATGACCTCTCGATCGCTTATATGAGGCTAGGGTGAGCAGCGATTTGCACGGGTGATCGGTATCCGTTGATATCCGGTATGCGAGAATGTGATCTCCGCGTAGTCGTCGGTATTCGGAGGAAAACATTCCGATTAAACTGAGACGCACTTCATAATTGAGACCAGATAATCTGCGTGTTGCCTTCGTAGCTCTTCGCTGGGGCTGTTCTAAGAGATGAATGTCTCGTTTTAACCATGGGCACCAAGCCTGGACGGCATATTCGACGTGGGGACGGATATAGGAGTTGACAAGCATGGGTACCAACCGTCGTTCAAAAATACCAAAGGCTCGCCTCAAAAGTCTCAGGTTCATGTTCTCCACGTTTGCTGATTTCGAACATTAGAGCGAATTCCCCAGACTTTCTTGCACAATGATACCTAAGTCTCTTTCTGTGGTCACGCGCCGTAAAGGTACGTCTTGGCAAGATTGCCGCGCAATGACAGTAGGTGACACTTGGCAGGCTTCAGGGGGAGGTGTTTTATATCTGCCCATTTGTTGATTCAATGCAAATCATTCTGGAGGAGGGCACAGTCTGATGTTGAGCGAATAACTCTCCAGATTTTTGCGTCATCTGCAAAAATTTGCATCGAGGATTGAATATTATCCGGGAGGTCGTTAATGTAGACCAGAAAAAAGAGGGGACCAAGGACGAATCCTTGAGGAACACCGCTGGAGATGCAGAGGGTTTCCGAGAGGGCATCGGCGACGCTGACCTTGATCGTTCTGTCATGTAAATATGCTGCTAGCCAGGTGAGTAGGGAACCATGGATACCGTAGGCACGAAGCTTATGAAGCAGAGCTAAGTGATTGACTCTGTCAAATGCCTTCGAAAAGTCTAGGCGGTTGGAGACTGTTGATGTGATAGTCCCGAAAACCGTACGCGTCCTTTCCTTCTCCCTTTTTATCCAAGCGGAACAACTATTTAAATCTTTTGATTCCCCTTCTTCCTTTTACTGCGTTGTCCGTTTTCTTCTTCATGTCTCTGTCTGACAGTCCTATCCAGCCCTGTTCTCATTACATAGGACATGACGGATGAGGTGGACGGGTTCGGTTGCGTTTAAATTTTTTGATTAACTTATACCTTTCGAAACTAATTTGTCCTCTGCCCTAGGTACTTCACTTTTGAGTGACGACGTTTCGCGCTCCTGAAGATGATTAGCCACTTACTTCCTCATTGCTATGTATTAATCTGCAAAAGAACGTTTTACTCCCTTTTATGCTATCCACCTTACAGCGCTCTAAGATCCGTGCATTTGGCACATGTTCTTCAAAGCCAACGTCCTTTGGATTCAAAGTTTAGTTAACCGCTGGCGTGCAAACGAGTCTAATGGTGCTGAGGTCAGAACTCAGCTGCATGATCCCGACTTGAGTGCAGATAACAGCGATGTTCCCATCCCTCTTGCTGCATCTTATCAAGTGAGTCTGTAGTTTTGACTTTTCTGAACTACGGTTCACGCGTAGCAAAACATATGTTGAGTCAAACTGCAATGTCTTTTCGGTATCCCCTCAAGGTTCCAACAGCAAATATACTCGCAGCACAACATCGGCATTTAGACAAACTTCTTCGGCATTTCAAATGGCCAGTCATTATTTGCAGTTCTGTATCTCAGGTTGGGGCTTGATTGACTGAGGTCTAATTTTGGCGTAGTCAGTTGACTTCTCTTCACCTCCTTGCCTTGGGATCATTGTGTGTGGCTTCGGCTAGAAGAAATGGGATATCTGTATCACGTATCTCCCTGGTTGGGTTGCGACATTTCCCTCCTCGGTTGCTGCACGTGCTACTGGGAATGTGCTTCGAGTCGGCGATCCTTGGATGCCTAATCGCGCACACTATGGCGACTGTAGCTTTGTGTCCGTGAGTAGGTCTAATTGCGCTAGCAATGACTTGGAGCTGTGGCTTTTCCAAAAAAGCAGTTTCACCTTCTTACGATCAGTAAACTAGATTTGCTAGCTGCGCATCAGGCCTGCACACCGGAAATAATGCACACCCGACACACATCCAGTTAAAAACAAAACTTTGTCATGGAATTTCTCGTGATTACACCAACGGATTATCTCTACTACTCTCTGGTTCATTCTTTGCCATCACGTCGCCTAAAAGCGCACTGAGTTCTTAACAGATCGTTCTCTTAACTACCGACTGTTCTCACCTTTAACTGGTCGTTCGATTTTTTCTAATCTCATCCTTTCCCTCTTTCTTCCCATGTTATTTTTCCTCTGCTTTATTTTCCCGGTGACACAAGTCATATCAGCTGGATTCACCGTACCACAATAGGTTTAAACTGCTGTAAGTCGACCATCCAGGGACTGGACCTGTGGTCAACCTATAGAAATGGTCAACCTACGGAGGTCCTTTACAAAGATCTAGAGTACCCTACTTTCCTACTACGAGTAGTACAGTAGTAAGTTAATTTTCACGTACATCCTGAGCAAACCTTTACATGGTAATGTCTGAAGGTCAAATTAATGGTAACTGTTATGACCCAAATGGTCAAGACGTGGTTTACATACATGGTCAACATACAGAAGTCTGGTCGCATAGGTTTTACATGGTGAATATTTATACTATGAAGAAACAGTCTATTTAGTGATGCCGTCACCTTCAACTGTTTTACTGTAATTGTTTGTCCAAACTGAATTGCAACCGTCACTCTGACCATTTGTGAGCACCAACTTCAAATGACTACTTTCTTAATTGCTCTAACCAACAAAGGATGACAAGATGCTATGTTTGAGATGTCGAACTCTGCTTATCAATCTTGGTGTAAGGAGACGACGTAATTTGTAGTAATCTATCCCCGAGAGGACGCCCAAAACGCCCGTTCATACTGTTACGTATAAGTTGAATGGAAGAAGAAGCATAATAAACAACACTTTTGCTCAAGAATTTACGGAGCATGCTGCTGTTCACAATTTGGGTATCGCAATATCGCATCACTTCAACAGCACTTCCGCACGTGTCCACAGGGTTAGTTACATCATTTTTATAAAAGAGCAACTTTATCTGTACCCATGAATCATTGTAACCGAAGCGCCTTCCTAGCAGTCTCAACATCACGGCGATTTCCTTTAGCTTGACCAAGATAACCTTCCTTACTGATGTCTGAGTAACAGGACCTCCGGTCAGTTGGGTCAGATCGAGCAATGACCGAGTACATTTCGAGTCACTACCCGTATTAGGCCTCGTTTCTCCTTATGGTCATTAGTCTAAGTTGGTGGGAGCTGGTCGATATCTATCCTATCCTATTAAACGGAATAATGCCCCCCAGTTTAAAAGTCATTGCTATCCGCTCCAGATGTCCGCTAATAATTTTGCATCTGTGTCAGGCTTCTGCTTTTCCCGTGTCTCAATAAAGTAGACTTAGCTAGGTGTATCGACGCTCCACCTCCCCAATCCTTTAGAGATGTTCTTGATTTTGTGGTCGTATCCAAGTAAACACAGCTTTCATACGCTATCGTGCAACGGTTTTAACAGATTGATGGAGCAGAGTAAGACGATTGGCTTGGTCAGCTTTTCAGAAAAACGAACTGTCAAAAATAGTTCAGGAAATTGCGAAACCCCCAGTGAAAGTTGCTAAACAGTATGTCAATGAGAGAAGTAACGGCCGAATTCGGGAGCCCTGCTTCAAGAATACTCAGATTGTTGGCACATAATTTTGTTGTTGTTGGGAATCACCCTTCGCGCTGTCGTCAACATTCCATCTCGGTCATTGATTATTGTTGCACACGCGTAGCACGAACTGTTTTAAAGGAAGCCAAAAAAAACAAGAAGTCTGTGACTAGGTGTCAAAATATCTGCACTAGTATTTTGCAGGTTAGTGCAAAGCCTACCAATCAGCCGATTTCTCCAAGCTGAAAGGAGCATGTTTCTCTAAAGTGGAAAGTTAATTCTGCTTGAGAACCCATTTTCAGTTTGGGTAATCGTTAGCTTTGTTCTTTCGATGGTACTCCCGCATAGACGATTAGCAACTTATCTCACAGTTGTGTAACCAGCAACTCAACCAGAGCTTTGTTGCCTAAACTAACGTCTCTTGGCCTTTGCATTCAACTGTTGTGAATGTAAGCGTCTGCTAATCAGAATTCATTCAAAATCCATTTGAGACTGAGGTATCTGTGGGGCAAAGTCTCTCAAGGTACTCGATGCTAGGAAACTGCAGGGAGCATCCTCACCTACTCCGCTTTATCTTCGCCCGATATCCAGCTGTTTGTGCTGTTGACAAGGCGTAGAAGACTTTCTCCATAATCTTTTATCCTGATGCAATTTGCTTACTATCTCTTATTATTCTTTACTGGTATGGCAATTACACTTGTACTAAATATTGCTGTTACTGTTGAATAGCAACCTAAGCAGCTTAGTTGTGACTGATGGTCGCAAACCGCCATGGCCCACATTTAACTACAAGATGACAACTCATCTCCCATCGACATGCATTTTACCAACACCATGCAGAGAAAAGTGTTGGTCCCTAAAATTAACACAATCCTCTGTAAATCACCATTTGCTTGGCAACACTATAAAAAATCTCGATTAACTAATGCTGCACATGCATGAAAATTAGATCTCACCGACTTGTTGCAGTAGGAGGATGCAGCTGCCCACCGATTTTCTGGATTTGTAGTGGTTTTTGGACCAAATGTCGAAGGAACATCCTCTGTCGCCCCCTATGGGTTAGCACTACTTGGGAATCAACATTTAGGATATGTCCATGTACTTACCTTGACATATACGCCTTTTCTCTCTCCTTATTTTTACAGCCGTTTGTTTTCTTTACCCCCACCTCTCTTCCACAGGAACTGAACTGGGAACAAGTCAAGTTGATCAGTAGTGGCCTCACGAAAGTCACAATTCGTCAACTTAGCGACAATCTACCGGACTCATCATCCGAACGATCCACTTTTGAGGCTTAGGGTCCTCTCATTTTTCCTTCCGATTAATTCGCTCAAGAAATCAACTTGCCCTCATTTATCGTCGTGTTCCTTACTTTCTCTCAATTCAGTGAAGCAGCTGGCTCGATGTGCGTTCTCTCTGCGTTTACGAATAAATTGCACTGCTGACAACTTGATAGTAGTCTAAAGCTTTGGTCGCTAATGGTTGCTTGTCATGCGCACGCTCATGACCCTACCGCGCACTGATTAGCCACCTCCGCTGTTTAATGCCAACGCGATTAGCAGTAGTCATCAAGGCATGCACTTAGTAGGTTAAAGTAGTTGAGTGCACCACGCTTGTGTGTACATTTTTATCATTGAACGGTTTCCCAACCTATCACATGTGTCAATCTACCCGTCCCCTAACCATACTTTTCAAACCTCGTATATGACACTGGAAACACACTTCTTGCTATGCATTACGAGCACCCAGTTCACTCAATTTCGGATCATCTGTGCTTATCCTTAACATTGCCATCCGTTTGTCCGGGCATTTCATTAATTAAAATAGGAGATCGCTGGTACCGCTTTTAGATATCATGAGCGGTATGCCTACGAATCGTTTCGCTGGCCTTAGCACCAAGTTGAAGAAATCTGTAACCTCCGATCTGTAATTTATCTGGTAATCATTTTACATGTCATGCATGTCATGCTATTATTCGCCAGGAAAACAATATCCTAAGCAATCACACACAAAATACAATTTCAGCTCGACTGTTGGATGCTCTCATTATGAAACCATGGAACAATGATTTTTACGGGTAAAAAAGCATCGTTTAACAAATGCCGTGGGATGTAAATCATTGCGAAAAGCAAATTGTATCATAAAGGGAAAAGCGTTTCGGTGGACTCACCATAGATTTATGTACAAAAGCGGTGATGTTCGCGTATTAAACGTATAAATCCATAAATCCATTGGTGATGCGTTTGGCAAGACACGGTTTGCGTTTTGTAGACCCTCGCTAACAACATAAAATGAAATGGAAGGGAGACAGTGGATCGTCAATACGCTTTTTGGGAGCAGAGACGATATAATTAGGGAGGGCTTTTCAAGGCCGGCAAACACGGAGGGAAAAGAAATTTCTACGGCATTCAAGCTGGCTATAATGAATTGTCAGTTTCATAGGGTGATCTCTTAGGTTAGTATTGTGGTTCCATTCCGGTAGCAGACGACAAATACGGCTTGGGTTCTTCAGAATTTGGTAAACTATTATAAGATCCCCTTGCAAAAGCCGATATCGACTGCTGTACATTTCTAGAGATTTTAGTCTAAGCTGATGGGGCAGATGAAAGAGGCCCCTGATGTTATTGGTTGCCCTTTGTTGAGGAGTCTCGAGAGCAACAAGATCCTGTTTCTGCCACGGTTGTCACGCCTAAATATAATATTCTACGTGCGGTCGCACTTTTGTGTTAAGCATTTGGGGAAATATTGAGGGTTCAAACAGACCGAAGGCTCTGCGAAGAAGGCCGAAGTGTTGATTTCCGGTTCTCGTCGCCTTCTCTGCTTGTTCTGAACACCCAAGATTTTCCGGTACCAATGCACCAAGGTCACGCTCCAGAGAGACCTTCTCCAAGGTGTGGTCTCCAAGCTGGCAAGTGCTCACAGGCTGGTGACGCAGATGGATCACCTTGCACTTAGCTATGTCAAACGAGAGCAGGTTCCACTTTGACCATTCGTAAAGGCAATCTAGTTCATGTTGGAGTAGATCGTGATCTTCATTGTAGCTACCGGCCCGCCATATCTTGACGGCCTCGGCGAAAAGCAGGATATTTTAGGAGACAACTCTTGCCAGATCGTTGATAAACACCAGGAATAAGCGCGGTCCCAGCACTGTGCCTTGTGGAACACAACATTCTACCACAATCGGGTTACAGAGGGATCCCCTAACACGTACTTGAAGCTTCCGTTGGTGAAGTAAGTTGCCAATCCAACCAACTACAGGATCTCCGATTCCGTAACTTTGTAGTCTTTGAAGTAGGATGCGGTGATCAAGGCAGTCGAAAGCTTTGGCGAAGTCAAGATGGATGACGTCAACTCCGACCCCATCATCAGCCACTCCTGTCCAACTACCTCGTGCAATCAGTAGGTCGGTGGTGCAAGACCGGCGTTGACGGAAGCCATACTGTTCCGGTACCAAGATGTTGCAGTTTTCCAGGTAGTCCGTTAAAGCCTCAGCGACATTCGCTTCCATCACCTTCGCGAGCACAGGAAGTAGAGTCACTGGACGATAGTTTGTAGGATCTGAACGACTACCGCCTTTAAAAATTGGGGTGATAATGCCACGCTTCCACATAGTGGGGACTTGTTGTTGTTCAAAGCACCTTTGGAACAAATGTGACAATGCTTCAGCTAACTTGTTGGCCGCAGCCTTCAGTGCCTTCGGGCGGATGTTGTCTGCTCCCGGAGAGCTGTGATCATGCAGTGAGAGTAACTTCCTTAGCACAATTGATGGGTTGAAAATTACCTGTGTCAACACTGGAGTCGGTAATGTGCATGACATTATGGGACAGGTAGGGGCCACGAGTTCGAAAATAGTGACGTATTGTAGCCGCAGGGCATTAGCTGTTTCTTCGACGCTTTGTATTCTACCGTTTTCCGTGAAAAGTGGAAGGAGTCTATGTTTCACTTTACGATGATTGTTCACATGCGTATACAGCAGTTTGTTGTTTGCCAGGAATTGTTTGCCTAGGCACGGTTGATAGGTTACTTTGTCCTTCCGGACATGCGCAGTGCAATGGCTGCCATGGGTCAGGAATTTGCCCCGTCTCTGAGCCGGGTTATTCTTGTAGGCACGTCATGCTGCATACCTTATCGCCAGGCATTTTCGAGTCCTGCTCCTCAACATTGAAGGCATTTTTGCGGAACGAAGTGGCTTGGTCTCTGATGTTCTGTTGACGATGTTGTTGAGTCTATTAACAAACTCTGTCCAAACGTTGTCAAGGGGGCTGTAGTTTGAGAACGCCCAAGCGGCTTCGTCGACGAGTTCTTTCAATACGTGGTAGCGTGTGATTGTATGAGTTCCGACTGTTCAGATAGGTACTCTGCATAACACACATAATTGAACGTTATTACTACATGGTCACTGAGACCTAATCGACAATCCATCAATAACTTGTCAACCATGCACTCTTCATTGGTGAGCACGTGGTCCAATATGGACGGTTTGTTTGCTGTCCTGAATCTAGTGGGCGTGGTGACATGATTGTAGAAGGGAATGATTGTAGAAGGGAATCAGTTCATGCAACTCTGCTTTTAACTGCTCGCTGGCGATGTCGAAACCTCCAGATTGTGTAGATTGAACTCCCGGGAGATGGGAATGTGGCAGTACCTAGTGCGTGTCCCTCTGTTCAGGCCACGGATCAAGCGGGAATCCATTTCCGGAGTGGACGTTGGGGGGCGGTAAACTACGGCTACGAGACATGCGTCGTTGTTTTAGTCGGAGACAGCACCAGAGTGTGTCGATAAGATGAGATTCCAGATCATCGGCTATTGCACATTGCAGATCGCTGCGGTAGTAGAGTAGGACCCCTACCTCCTCTGCTGGGGCGGTCGTTCCGGAAGATTGACATTCCGGCAATCTCAACCTCAGCATCAGTCACCACTTGGTGTAACCAAGCTTCGGTTCTTGAAATTAGGTCCCAAGCATTCACAACCTGACGTATCCGAAGTTCGATAAGTTTACTGAGGAGCCCTTGGGAGTTGGTGTACATACTTGAAAATTCCTCAGATTTAAGCAATGTTTCGGAGGTTGTACAACTCATACGTTAAGTTTCGCCGACCAGTGAGTGGTCAGCGACCAATCGTTTTTTCGATGTGTACTTGGTGAAGGTTTTAACGTCTTATCTTCCGCGTAGTTAGTCCCGTGTCTAATCTTCGACGTACAGTGTTAGGTGTCTGTTCAATATCAGCTTCTACAGGTTGTATGGGCTCATTCGACACACTACTGGTGCACTTTTCTTTCATAGATCCTATCGCGTTCGGTTCTTTGAATGACATAGCATCACTTGGAGGCTTATCGCTGACTAACTTCAACCGAAGCTCAGATGGTAACCTGCAACCGAACATGTACCAGCTTTGTAGCAGCCGTGTTACGATATGTTTTGACTGAAGGACCATCTTCAACACTCTCGGGCCATTTCCTTTGTAGTTCGGTGAGGTACGCAGTCGTGACACGGAATTCGCTAACACATCATCCAACCAGTGTTTCACGAATATAACACCACTGTTCTTTATCATGTGTTATTACTTCATGCTCATCACATGCTTCAGTTTCAGGAACCCCGTGAAGAAGAATGGTTCTGGTTGAAGTTTGCTTCCGGTAGTCCTCTAAGGTGCGGTTAACTCGATAACGCTCGCCCCATGAGATGTCTGGAAAGATACGGGTGGAGCAGTGTTAATTTCTGAGACCACCTGTCAACAGTAGTACTGATCCTACTTTAGTGATGGAGTTCAGCACAACGCGCAGAATACTTGGTTCTCCGAAATGTTTAGAGTTGGAGTGTCATGTAATACGCACTACGTATACCGGTTTCAGTACAACTCCCGTTAAGTTACTAATAATACATCACTGCTTAAGGTCATCCAACTGCCTGACTCTTATCGATGTCGACTTTGATTCTGGGATATAGGAGCTTAATACGCGCAGTACATTTAGTTGTTTCTTTAGACCTTTCGACATGTCGCGGTTAGTGACTGAAGTACTCGGAGATGTACGGCAGGAAACCAGTGGTGCTTGCACTAGGAAAACTCCGCTATGCTCCTCAGTTTCCGATCCAGTTGGGGGTTATGTTAATTTTAAATGACAGCTCTTTTTGATAGCAACCGTAACCCAACTTCCGCTAGTACCGCCTGGCTCTTTTTCTACGCACTCCGTCAGGAGTTTGGAAGTAGCCTTACGTGTAGTTATCCGATCGAACTTGGAACCGCTTTAGTCAAGTGTGAGCTACGTGTGGTATTGGGACAGCTGTTGATGTTCTGGACT